TACATTTAACCTCATTAGTTTCAGTGGGACTGACTCTCCAATCCATCAGAGTTGAGCTACATTAGTGAAACTCAACTATTTCTAAATCTCATTTACATAATGGATGAGATGTGAAATGAGCCCAATGCAAGGGGAGCCGCCCGGAGGCACTAAAGTTTATCACAATATGTAAGAGTTCTTTTAGATCATTGCATTAAATTTCCGCTAACAAGATAACAAATTAATTGTCTGTATTACTGTACTAGCCCAAAGTCTATTGAGTGGAGAGTGTAAGTGAGGAAGGCAGCTGGAGTTTCAAGGACTGTGGGCAGGGAGGCATGCTCAAAGGGATGCGATGAATGCTACTTTAGCTTTCTTCTGCCTCTTTAAGAAATCCCAGGCACCTCTGTAATCTGATGGTGGACTTTGGCTTTATTAGTGAGGTAAGCGAGGATGAGTAAATCAACTGTATCAGACAAGCCTCAGGACATCTAGAAATTGATCATTCTGCCGAAATAAGCACTCTGTGTTTATTAGCTGGGAGTTCATCACTATCACTTCTCCTCATCCAATTCCTAAGAGATTTCAAAGCCATCATCATGGTATTAGCTCGTCTGACTGAACTACTAGAGATAAAGATTAGGAGATCTATCTAATGATGGGTCTGAGTATCTGTGATTTTTTTCTCTTCTATTGCAAAGAAGAGAGCTTTTCTAGCACACATTCTGTGTCTATATGTGTATGCCTGCACACAATCACCATGTGTTTGCATTCTGTAGGGTGAATTCAAATCATGGAACAAAGTAGTTCTTTTAAAAAAAAGGACACCCAATAAAGCTCTTAAAACAATGCACCTTCTCCCATACATAGATGACTGCTTAACAAAGGGGATGTATGCCACATTGACTCCTTTAGCTGACAGTGTGTCTATACAGTGGGTGACATTGCATGGAGAAGAATAATTAGATTCCATAACCACATTTGTAATCCTAACATCCATACATGGCCAGACTCCTACAGCTATGTCCACGAGAGACGAGTCCATATTGGACTGATCTTTCAAAAACCTGTAAATATGCATTTATTTATTTATACATATATTTAGAGACACACATGCTCTCAAGCTCTTAATATCAAGCTCTTTTCTCAATGTGGCTTCTAAATAAGCAGTAATCAAAATGCAAATAAGGTGACCCAGTTAGCATCGAGATCTGTATTGCCGTGCAGATGTGCTCTGAGACTCTGTGCTCTAAAGGTAAAAAAGAAGACACTATAAAAGATGCTTATATTAACCAGCATTGACGACTAAGCCCTTCACATCCGGGAGAATCTAGGGAAGCATCTCCCAGAGCCAGTGATCTTATAGCTTGGATATAAGATGTTATAGCTTGGCCTGGTCTCTTTTTAAGCTGCCCTGTGAGTGTAAAATAAAAAACAGGCACCGGGAGAGCAAGAAGACTGTTTCTGTGAAGGCTCAGAAGGTAACCCTTATAACCGGAAGCCAGCATATTGGCCTGAGACAATTCAAGAATAAGGCCGAGGTAAGAGTCATGGTTCTGCCACCCTCCCTAAGTGACACTAGGCAAAGCAAGTCACATCCCCTTTCTGGGGCTCAGTTGCCCGGGAAAGACTGGATTGCTTCCTTTCCAATTCTAAACTACCTTGATTTTATTTGCTGAAGCTCCTTTGTGCTGCTGCATTGATGAAGCGTGTAACATACTTTCTGTGCATTACAGCAGCAAATTCTTAACCTACCTGTTCACCAAGGATTTGACGAGAGCATACTTGGTGTGTTGTGCTACTAAATTGGTTTTAATTACATATGTACTGCTTCTTCCCCTATTAATACCTTTTGAAAATCTCTTTGTTAATATTTTTCAGAGAGCAGGTACCACTCTATTGTCTCTACATTTTTTAAGCATAGGAGCAGTTACGTCTGCATGCTGTTTGATTCTATCTTTCTGCACTTTGTCCTTCTGGGGGGGTGTGTGTGTGTGTGTGTGTGTTTAGGAATCGTCTGAGGCAGGCAAGAGTTCTAACCTGAGCTTAAAAGTATCTTTGAACTTTAAACTGCATACAAAATGTTCTCTCTCTCTATATATATAGATATACATTTTTTTTTTCCCTAAGAAGTTTTGAGGTCCAAGATGCAGAAAGATTAAAGACCTCTAACTCAGGATATCTGCTCCTTGCAATTTTGATATTTGCTGTATTTCCATTCCAAATCATTGGGTACTTCTAGAAAACACCTTTCATCTGGCATGACCTTTTCACTATAGAATCAGGAGAGATCGACTTCCACATTATTAGAATTTACTGCATAGAGTAAAAGATTCTTTAATATAAATCTCTGTGAAGTTCCAAAAGACAAAATGTTATCTTCTCAGCCCATTTCTTCACTTCTGAATTAAGAGAAGCAAGAACTAATCAGATTGTTTAGTGGTTTTCCTGAATCTAGAAAACTTAGATTCAGAATATTAGAGCTAGAATCGATTCTGACCCGGAGGAAACTGAAGCACGGTAAGATTCCAAGTCTTGTGCAAGCTCATCCAGTAAGTGTGGGCAGAGCCTGCAATAACTCAATGTCTTAGAGCTCCCATCTCTTAACTTTCATATTAACAAATTATTTGTCTCTGTTCCAATTTATTGACTATAAGTATTCATTGAATAGTTTCTTTGTGCCTGCCTTATGCTAGGAAGATATAAGAAAAGAATATAAAATCTCTACTTTGTAAGGAATTTAAATCTTATAGGGTACACACATGACTTGAACACATAAAATAAGTTTAAAATGAGACAATTATATTAAGACAATATAATGCTAAGAAATAATAGTTAACAAAATTGACTGCTTACTACAGTTAGGCACCATAATAAGTGCTCTTATATATCTATTAGTTTTCTATTGCTGCTTTAACAAATTTCCACAAACTTAGTGGCTTAAACAACGCAAATGTATTATCTTACAGTATGAGAGGTCAGAAGTCCAAAATGGGTCTCACCGAGCTAAAATCAAAGTATGAACAGGGCTGCATTTCTTTCTGGAAACTATTCGGTAGGATCTTTTTCTTCCCGTTTCAGCTTCTAGAAGTCGTCTTCATTCTTTAATCCAAATGTCTCCTTCTCCGTCTTCAAGCCAGCAACATAGCATCTCTCTGATCTTGCTTCCATCACCACATCTTTCTTTAGTTCTTCACTTCTGCCTCCTTCTCCCACTTTAACAGACCCTTTTGATTACTTTTTGACTATCTGGTAATCAAGGATACTCTCCCTATGTTAAGGTAGGCTGATGAGTAACATTAATTCCATCTGCAACCTTAATTCTCTTTTGCTATGTTACATAACATATTCACAGGCTGTAGGAGTTAGGATGTGGACATCTTTCCAGGGTGGAGGGGGGCACATTATTTTCTGTCTACCATAGTATATAAACTTTTAAAATCCTCACAATAACCTAATTTAACAGATGAGGAAACTGAGGCACAGAAAGTTGATATAACTTGCCCCAAATCACACAGCTAGTAAAGCAGGTAGTCTTACTCCAGAGAATACATTTTTCCACTCTACTCTATGCTGTAATGAAAAAGGAGTTTTAGAATAGAGGACCATGTGTGGACTAAAGTAGTTATGGCAGCTTCCCCAGAAAGTTTGGGCCCAGAAGGATAAGATGTGTATTCCATTTGACCATTCATCTATCCAGCACTTTTGAATATCTAGTATCTATCGAACTAAGTGTTGAAGAATCAAAAGAAAGTGAGACAAGATTGCTAGCCCTGAGATTTTGCAATTGCCTGCAATAATTGGCAGAGAAATGAACAAATAATTACACAACAAGAGATAAGTCCTATTGCAGAAGTCTGTCCAAGATGATTAGACAATAAGTGGGAGGGAGACATTAACTTTACCTGACAACAAGATGTGGGTTTAATTTTTCCCAACACCTTTCCAAACATATCTCCCAGAATTTGGTTTTTATGACTCATCTCAAGACTTCTTATCTCAGTTGTACAAAGAAGACTTGTTATTTCTGCTTCTGTTTTTGTCATTTCCCAGCCCTAGCAAGTCCTCCCTCCACTTCCAGTTATTGAATTCTACCTGTCTTTCAAGACTGGGATTTTTGTATCTGCATCTGTCTTTCTGAGTGGGTGGTTGATCCCATTCGGAGAGGGTTCATGTTCCTGGTGCCTAATGGTGCCTGGCACTTACAGGTTCTTAATGAATGTTGGATTAATAAATAGATAAGTACAAGACCACTTCAAATCCCACTGAGATCTTGTTTTCTTCCAAATTTGTGAAGGACTCATTTGGCTTCCTGTATTTTTGGCTTACAATTTTCTAAGTGTTTCGTCTTATCCCACTTTCTACTTCTAAACTTCCTCTGCAAAGACTAGAGATCATATCTTCTGAGTTTTGCTAGTCAGAACTCAAATAACTGTTGGTTTTTAAATGATTGATTCTAGGCTCACTGAATACTATTCTCCCTAAGAGTGATCTTTCCTAAATTTTCTCTCTCAAGGTCCTAGAATGAAGTAAAACTCATTTGAAGCAAAACACGTATTGATAGGGCCACCACCCTATTGAGCAAGTTGTTCACTGTCCAAGGGCACCTGAATCAAGGGAAGGTTAGGGCTGAAATCCAGCCTCTTCTCCTCCCTCCAAACCATGAGCAATAAGGATGCATGTGTGCACAGGAAGCCATGCCTTTTTCTAATTTTCACAAAGGTGCCCTCTCTTTGCTAAGCCCTGAATCCGTGGGGTTCTGTCCACCTATATGGGATGCCTTTTCCTGATTCATCCGAAGATACCATATGAGGAGCAGAAGCTCTGCCTTTTGATGATTAAAAAAGTGCTTTAGAATCTTTCAGTGACCTTGTAAAAAGTAACAGCTACCTTTATGCTATGCAGAGATTATTAGCATGTAATTCCTAGAAAACAGGGGCTTCAACTATTTTGACCAGTGTCATATCCCTGGTATGGTATATGTTCAATAAATATTTGTTAAATTAATGAATAAGACAATGAAATAAATATAGCATTTTATCAACTTTGGCGCAGAAAAATATTAATTTCCCAAATTCCAAGGGTTTCTATTACTTGATTCACTTTCTTCTGTTACATATATCCTCCTTATTGCCATGAGTGATGTTAATCTGCAAACAAGAAAAAAGAGCAATGGAAGAATCTGAACAGACAACCAGTATATGAGAAAGGGAATTATTATCAGGTTTTCGAGAAGAGTTTCCTCTTGTGAAAATATGTTGCTTACTGGCCTACCTCAAAGTCAGTGTGTTATGGGAAAGAGAAGAACATTGAGTTGAGTCCAGAGGCATGGATTTCAGCACTACTTCTTCCACACACATGAAACGTGAGCTTGGGCAAGTCACCTGGTTGGTCTTCTGTACCTTGGTTTTCTTATTTGTGAATTCGGAGTTTCACCATCTGCCTCTTGTCATCCACAGGGATGCTGCAAGGGGCAAATAGCATAATGCATGTCAAAGCTCTTTGCAAGATTAAAAGTCACTGACTACTCAATGTAAGATGCCTCCCAGTCCATGCCAAGCCCTGCATTCTACACTGTAAAGAGGGCCAGGGAGGTGACTGAGGGAACCAACCATCCCAATGGTGTCATGCTCTCCCACTATGCCAGCCTAAGCTTTGTCACCAGGAAACATTTGCACTTGCAAATGTTAGAATTAAAAATTAATTGAGGTGTTCAACAAGCCTATACTATTTTCCAGATACACTGCTTTCTGCAGTGGATGTTACAAAATGAATTATATATGATCCCTGGGTGATAATTCCATCAGCCCCTTTATTTTTAAAAAAAACTGTGAGATAAAGATCCAACCAGGAGTTAGGATCCAGTTCTTACCACTTCTTATGAGCTGTGTGATTTTAGAATCTCCATTTTCTCATCTAGAAGAGGGGAGTACATGGTAGGCATCCCACAAGAGTTTGTTTGTTTGTTTCCCCATAGAGAAAATGAGATAAAGTAGATAACTCGCCTTATAATTACTCTAAGGTGAGGCTGATTTTTAGTATCCAAGGTCACAGAGCTCATTAAAGGGATCTTGGGAAAGCCAGCTGCCACAGACCCTGCTTTTCCTCTGTGACCCCTGTGACCTTGAACAACCTGGGGAAGAGGTAATTGAACAGCAACTACTACTTCGGAAGAAACAGAATCAAAATATCGAAACTATTGACTCACCCTTAAGGCAGTAAACAGTGCTTTGGTCTCTGACCTTTTCGCATCCCGGGGCAGTCAATAACCTGGCCGCTAGTTACAGCGCCTGCCACTGATTCTGATTTGGGAGTACTTTAACCTTGAACTGAGCTCCAAGTAACCAAGGCAACAGGAAGTCAGCTTCTGTGTAGGAGGAGTAGGAATCCATAAATCAAGTCCCTAATGCAAACATGGTGTGCAGGTAGAGGTTTGAGAGGATAAGTGATCTCTGAGAAATTACCTTTGAAAATGAGTGACTGTCCCTCAATAGGCTACAGCCAAGTTTCAAAGACTTTTAAAAAAAATTATCAATAGAGGTCAAGAAGTTATAGCAGAATGTTTTCACATAGGTTTAACTTTTTTTTTTTATTTCCTCCTGGCTCTGTCTTTTAATTATGAACAGATGTTGGATCCACAAAGTTATTAGCATTGTTATTTCCTCCTTTACAAATGAACTGGCCTTCAAATATGCAAGCCTCAGTGCAGTCTGTCCTGTGTTGAGGTTTGGGGATGCTCTGAACACATTTGCCAAGTATGCTCTCCATACAGTCTGCTGTCTGAATTTGACATAGTGCTCCCTTTCCAGATCAAAGCCATCCTCGCCTTTACTCATGCCCCAGTGTAAGCTGCAGTACCACATCTCAATGGTCCAACCAGTATAATGCTAGCTCTGGATTTTTCTTAAAAATTATTTTGTGGAGTCCCACTGGTTTATAACATTGTGTAAATTGGCTTATAACATTGTATAAACATTTCATTATTAAATAGCAGTTTCTCTATAGACTGCATCGTGTCCACCACCAATAGTCTAGTGTTTATCCATCACCATACACTTTGGGTTTCTTTATAATCTCCCTCCCATGGAGAGAGAGAAGCCAGGCCCATGCTAGGAAAAAACTTTCTAAATGTCCCACTGCTCTGCCCTCACCCAGCATTTGTGAGAACTTGGTTCTGAACTGTTTCACATTCATCTGGTCATTTGGGTACCTCTCCGTGGGACATCAGCTGCCACCTGGAATGAAAGGAAACAAAGACTTCCAATGACCAGCCTTCCCAATGCCCTCTCCCAAGGAGAAGCCACCCATTCCAGTCTCCTAAAACCTCTGCTCTCAGATAGATTTTGTGGATTACAAATACTATGAGATTAGCCTTTGTTTAAAGCGCATCCAGTATTCTGACTCATGTACACTATTTCTGGGGTTGTTTCTGTAATCTTTTCAAAACCCAAAAATGTCTGAGAAAATGTCAGGGCTTTTTTTTTTTGGTTTGTTTTCAAATTCATTGGATGGCAACTAGCAAACAGTACTATAATCTAGAAAATCCTAAATTATCCGGGATTTTCAAGACAGCTAAACATTGACAATCTGAATTATAGAGTGTTTTAAGTGTCATTTTATTACTTTTAATGTATTCCATTGCATAAACACTTGAGTAGCAAAGTATGCCCAATAGAGGTATGATCGGATCAACTTTAATGAAATGATGTGGACTGAGACTAATTCACACTGTGAACATTTGCATGAAAATGGGTACAACTAAAATAACTTGAAATCAATTTGTTCCCAAGTGAGAGTTAAATATCCACCTGCTAATCCTGTTTATGGCTCTTTCCCTGAGCATGTCATAATTTGAGCAAAGAACTACCTGCCCAACCTTTGTACCAACCAGGTATAAAGATTGGACATATCAGTGAATTTTTCCAAAGCAGCTGTTATCCCATAGACCTCTGAGAGCGTAGAGTTCCGGAGGTGTGCTGTGGGAGGTATTCCCGCATCCATTTGATGGGAACACACTCACGGTGGTACACAGTACCAATGAGGGAAATTTTCATCAGACTCAGGCCTGCTGTCCTCATTTCAGATTTGTTAGCAGACAATTATTCAAGCACGTCAATCTACCCCAGTGCCCATACTCTTATAGACTTCTAGATTCTTGCCAAACTATGTTTATTTTCTCAATGGAAAAATAATTTAATACATGTTTGTGGTTTCAAAAATATTAACAATACAGAAGGATAAGGAGTAAAATTTAAAACTCCCCCTTCCTCACCAATCTTCCCTGTGTTCTCCTCCTCCAGAATAACTGCTGTCAACTGTTAGGACGTATCTCCCTTCAGATGATTCTGTGTGCATTTTACATATATTATATGTGTATGCCTCACCTATCCCTGGCACACCTGCGTATTTTACAGATGGGCATACTATACACGTTTGCTGTATTTCCTGACTTCTTGATGGTTGTGTCTTGCAATCTCTCTGTCATGGAATTTGATATTTGTCTCCCTCCACTGTCAAAATGCTATGAAATGCAAAATCCCTAAAAGCATAAATGCTATTGTTATTCACAACATCTCAAGTGGGAGTCTCAGAGACAGGATGGAGAGGAGGCAGAAGGTCATAGAAGGTAGATGAAAATGTCACCAAGACTTTCTTCCTTAGGCAGCTGCAGATGCCTTTTCTAGGTGTGATACTAGGGCCTCTGCATCCTCAGTGTGAAACCTGCTGTCTGCAGACTGAGGTCGTGGGCAGGTGTGAGAAGACAGCATGTGGACCAAGGCGATCCCCGGGTTTAGCATCTGGATACTGGAATACTTCCCACCCTGACATTAAGAGCTGTATGAGTTTGGTCAGTTCTCTCTTAACCTCTCAGAAATGTGTTGTGCTTGTCTGCAAAATTAAGAAAGTAGTAGCCTCCATGCTACATGCTTTGCCGGGCTGGCCTTAGGCCCTGTCAGCGGATCTCACTGTGGGGGTAAGATAATGTTACTCTGGAAGGGACTGCATCTCTCAAGTTGGTTGGGATGGGAAAGAAAGAGTCAAGAAGTCCTGTGAAAAAGCCCCATTTGTTGTTGTTGCTATCAGTGGCAAGTGGCCTGCAAATGGAGGCACTCTGAATAGATGACCATGTGACATGGATTCAGACACCCTCAGCCTCTGGCCTTATGCTTGGATGAGTTAGAGAGTCATTTTTTGCAGCTGGGGATGGAGAAGGTACCCAGAAATCCTTGGTCATGTCAGAGAAGAGAAATGAGCCTCTGCTGGCTGGTTTCAATTGGGCCTGAGGAAGTAGCAGGTTATACTAGTTACAGTAGTAATAAAGGGAATAGTAATAACAGGAAACACTTGTATAGCATGGACTACGCGTCAGACGCTGTTCTAAGCACTTCACATTGATGGGTTCCTGGATGCTCCCAGCCACGCCTATGAGGGAATGCTGTTCCATCCCATTTGTATAGTTAAGGAAACTTAAAACTTGGAGAGGTTAAGTAACTTGCATGTGATCACACAGCTGAAAAGGAAGAGAGCCTGGATTTGAGCCCAGGCAACAAGGTTCCAGAATCGCTCTTACAATTTGTTAGATAGTAAATTTCCAGGCCCTTACAGAAGCACCCAGAAGAGTCTACCAAGGCTTTTCAGCGTCATAAATACATGACTTATGATGCTTATTATGACCAGGCACTCGAAGGCCCCCAAATCACTTAGCCTTGTGACTATTGTGACACAACAGTTCCCATGATGCGATGCATCTTCCACCTCCAGCAGGCTGGTCTCTTGTCTGAGTCATCCTCATCCCTCCTTCATTGACAAGTGTATGCCTGTCACTCAGCGCCAGGAACACCTTTCCCTCATCCTTGCTGCTCTAGCATGAGCTCCAGAAAGCCTTTCCTCACATCCTCCCACTTGAATCCCGACATCCTAGAACTCCACAGGCGCCTAGGATGAAGAGCACACAACCCTGCCCATACTCGTTGCCCAATGTTTCCTTCTCATTTAGTCTTGTCTCCCCAGCTACGTAAGATGAGGCGCCTCACTAGGGTGGGAGCCACTTCTCCCCATCTTGCTGTGTACAGCACAACCTCTGGACAGATGGGCTTCTTGATCCTCAGGAGGCAAAAGCCTGGCTGATGGATTATACTGTTTCATTAGGCCTGGGTCCCATCCCCCACTTCCAGGCAGCCAACCTGGAATGTTGTCACCACTGACCTCAGCCGCAAAACCAAAACCAGTCATGCTGCCAATTTATTTTTCTTTAAACATTCTAAAATTTTATTCTTGTGCCAGAAAGAGGTCAGATCATTGGATGATTTCCTCAAATCACTTTCGGGTTTTATGTTGTCTGTCTTCCTGTCCCATTAACAGTAACTGTAGGCTTTGCGGTTATTGTTTTTTAGGAATGCCAAGTCCCCACTTAAAAGTGGACCAGACAGCAACGCATGGTAAGAACGAGGGTTCAGCGTCCACCATGATGACCAGGAAGAAGCCAGCCACAGTTGACAGTGTTGCAATTCCACCAACCCCAGTGTTATCTCTCCTTGCTGCATCTGCAGCAACATCGGACACAGGTGAGCACCTTTAAGATGCCTTGGGTTCACCCCCGTGAAGGTGGGTGTGGAGAAAGCCCACTGGGAATGAATACAGGTAAGAGTTTTCTGTTTAGCCAACCTCCCATAGACACTGAGCGTGTGAGCTATTTCAGCACTGGATATTCCAAGTGGGAAGAAGTCCAAGAAAGGAAGGAGATCAGCTCAGAACCTGGAGGCAAAGGCCGGTGAGTAACAATTAAATGATAACAGTATTAATTAGTCTTTATTAATCAAGTCTTAATAATTACTAATCTCTGCATCAAGGGCCTTATATATGTCATCTCATGTAACTCATAAAAGAACTCTGAAATAAATACTGTGTCCTCATTTCAGAAGAGGAAGCTAAGAGTAAACATACTTGTCTCAGGAACCCATGGACAGTCAGAATTCCAACTCAGGCCTAAAACCCAGGCTCTCCACCACTGCATTTCACTACCTCCCTTGCTCACTGGGGTTTGAAAACAGTAATCAGAGTTTCCCTGCAGCCTTGATTCATTCTACGCCGTGATGTCATGAATTCCTCAAGACTCACCAGACTGCTCACTGGAAGATGATAAAATATAAACTCCTGATTCAGACATCGCAGATGCTCTGCCTTCCTCTACTCCCCATGTAATCTCCCACCAGTTTCTGCACCAGCCCCCACTGTGCCACACTCATCCCTACTGCCAGGAAGGTAGGCCTTGGACTTGGCTTAACACCTTTCTTTGAGGACAGCCTTACTCAGTTTCTATTCACATCCCACAGATCTTCAAGGCCCAGCCAGTCACACCTCCCCCGAATGGCATCCAGTGTCTCCACCATGCATTTACCACCTACTCATAGACTACATAAGAAAATGTCTTCTATTTAACTTCTTCCCCCTCATAACAGAATTGTACATACCTCAGACGTAGAAGCCATGATTTAAGTTCTTGCTCTCTTCATGGCACACAGAGTGAAGGCACATTTCATAACATTTGTGGAATTAATGCACTGGTAAATGTTAAGCATATTGCAGTATTTAGAAATGCCTATTATGATTAGAAGCCCAAAAAGAGACTCATTAGTGATGCTCACTCTAAACTCATCTTAATTCAGCAGGTTGCTTTGAGCAGAGAACTCTACTTATCTACATACCTACTTCCTTCGTGGAAGTGGTTGGTAATTAGAAGATGAGCCCAACTGAAATAACAGAAAGAAATATTTGGAATGACACTTCCCACATTGAGTTCCTCAAAATATTAGTAGGTGTTTTGTGATAAAAGATGTTTTCATAGTTAAGTGAGCGTAGGGAATACTGCATTACATCTGCTTCCTTTCCGCAGAGCTTCTCAGAGCCTTTAGCTGACCAATGTGCGTTGGGAGGTTCCAGGAGGGAGAGACACAGAATTTCACAGTCTTATCTGACCACCAGACCCATTTTTCTGGGAGTAGCTCTTAACAGCTCTTGGAAATGGTGTTCTCCCAAACCGTTTGCGAAATCTTGCTCCAAGAGAATGGGATCATCTCTCAAATATGATCCTGGATCTTCACATCTTTCACATGCTAGGTGTGACATGAAAAGTTTTTGGTGGAAATGTCAGGTAAAGGATGCCAGTGATGAGAAGAAGAAGAGGTCAGAGGAGGGAAGGTCACAGAGGAATGGGGCAGAAGCTACCCCTGAGACTTGATGAACCAGTAGCACCTTTGTGGGAGGACGACCAGGCAGAGGAAGCAAAGTGGACAAAGCCCTGGAAGTGGAAACTGGTGCCATGGCTGGAACTCCAGAAAGTTATCACTTGGCTGGAGCAATAGATTTGGGCCGAGGTCTGCACTACCCACTCAGATAATTGCTTATTCAACCTTGTCAGTTAAGCTCTGGGGACCTCCCTTTATGGATTTAGAAATTAGCCTGTGTGTTTTTTCCTTTGCTTGCCAAGCACACTTATTTCCCAGGGGCAAAAGACAGGTGGTTCCCCGTTTTCCTCCCCTGAGCTCTTTCCATTCAGTGTGAGAGAACGCATTCTTGGGATCCCGTGCTTCTATGGGCTTGCCTCTGCCATTTGCATTCAGTAATTTACAGATATGCCAAACAGGCATAGAAACAGGTGGATATTAAACTTTTAAGCCTACCTCTCTGGTAATCAGAGCTGAGCTGAAGTTCTCCTGTTTCAGGATGCAGGAAAGGGCTGTTTATTTTTGGCAGTGCTAAAATGAGACCCTCATGAGAATTTCACAGATTTGGTCCATTTCCGGGTCTCAGGCTGCTGAGCAGAACTTCTGGGGGAAAACAGGCCAGAGATCTACCCCAGGTGCTGGAGGCCACACCTTCCTGAGAGTCCGCTCCCCACAGATAAACAGCTTCCCACAAACCTGAGAGAGTTAGGGCCACACAGCCTGGGCTCCTGTCCAACGCCCTGTTTCACAAGTGAAGAAACTGATGCTCCTGAGATTCAGAGATTTTCCTGAGGTCATGCAATTGGATTGGAACCCAAATTTCTTGATTTACCACCTGATTTCCAGTGGAATCTCACTTCTGTCATAAGCCAGCATTAGCAAAATGTTCCTAAAAAATATTAGAAAAGTTTCTTTCTCCCTAATTGTGGACTCCTACTTCTTTTAGAGAACAGAGAGTGAAACTCGTAATTTGATGCTTTAACCAAAGTCAAGCACGTAGTAGGCAGTTAATAAATAGTGTCTGGGTTTGATTTCATTCAGTTGGGTGTTTGTGCATTAGTCATTTATGTATTTCTAATAAGACAACCCAATTTCTGTTTTCTTTAGAGTCCCTTTCTTCATTCTAAGCAAGGTTATTTAGAATGACTTCTGGCTGTATACAGAAATAAATTTAAATAGGTCATTATTACTACAGAATGCATCTGAAGACCCAGACAAGTACAGAGGGGAAAAAAAAGGGAAAGAAGACTAAAGTGAAGTGGCTTATACAGCAAAATTAATTTAAGAAATAATTTATTGAGATAAAAAGTACTGAAATAATTCAATTAATTAGAAATTCCTTTCATTTAAAAATAATGGATTCTAAAGTTCCTAGTACAGGTCCTGACACAGAGTAGCTGCTCAATAAATGATCCCCAAGTGAAATGAATGATGGCGAGGCAGCAGCTGTGTGCTTACACAGTACCAGGCATGGTGGGAGATGTCTGAGAAAAACATGCTCCATCTTAGAACTGCTTAACATCAAATGGAAAACATTTGACAAACATGATGTAGGCTGTTGGTAAATACTTGCCAAATACTTAATCAGTCTAGCCTAATGGTACTTTTTCAAACAGGTGATCTTTGGTAAAAGAAAAAAAAGGAACATTTCCTACCTTACTTTATAAACATTACAAGGTAGGAGAAATGGATATGAGTCAGAGGTTTAGAAATATGTGTTTTCTAGCTCCAGTGTGTGTGTGTGTGTGTGTGTGTGTGTGTGTGTGTGTGTATTTTTGTTTAAGGCAATTTTTTAGCTTCTCAGAGTCTGAGAGGCATGCTGATTATGAAGTTATTGATTTGGAGGAGAAGAAGAGGAGCTGCAGGAGAGGGTGGCCAGACTGAGAGCATGTCAGTTTGTGAGCTACTGGGAGGGAGGGATGGCAGTGGCTGCCACTGGTGCTCGAGCAGTTCCGCCTTCGTGATCAAACTGCTCAATAGCTATTGATCACTGCCGTCCTCTGGCCTAGTGAAGGAGGTGTGATCCCAGGGAGCACTGCATCATTATTGTGAGTAATTAGGGCTAATGCAGTAAAAGCTTCAATAAAGTTTGTTCCAAGTGATGCATAATTTGAAATAACTTCTATTGTGCTGGCCCAATGATGATTTAATGACCATCTCAGATAATCCATACCTGAATAAGTCAGGCTAATTTTTCTGATCTTCTACATGTTGAAGTAACTTCTTGGGGAGGTCATACAATATGCAGAGAATTCATGATTTCCCTACTGAAACATGTTCGCCTCCTTTGTATTTAAGATGAGATGTCAATAAGTAGATTCCAAATTCTGCAGGAACTGAGCAAAATGCCAAGAAAACAGAATCTCTATGGTTTTACATCTGAAAGTCTAGAGAAGGAATGATAGAAAAACAAGCAGGTGAATCCTTCTTGTTTTCTCTCTGTCTGTCTATCTGTCTCTCCCTCTCTCTCTCACAAACACACACACACCCCGGTAGTCTCTCATCCTAAATCCAAGAGGAAAAAAAGACAAGTGTCAGGGTTACTATCAGCCAATCTCATCTGATTAAGGTACAACCAGTTAGGTAACGGAGGAAAGCAGAGTGAACACAGCTCTTAGTGGGTATCTGTTTCATATCAAAGCTAACCCATTATTTTCTCAAGTTTGATCTGCCTAATTTAAAACTACCAGAGCCTATGAGTCAGTGAAAATATTTAAATTTCACAAGTCTATTAAATTTTTAGACATTTTGTTTCTGAAGGCAGAAACTGATATTAGGTAAACCATTTAGTCATTAACCAAACTATCAACTTGATCAGAACTGATACCTGTATTCAAGATGCAAAACATTAAGCTTGAAAAATTAATTACTTTTACAGATAAAAGTATGAATTCTTAATTCTAATGGAATCAGAATGAAATCCAGGTTCCAGTAGGTAGAACACAATGATCATGAAAATTACTTCTAACTCCAAAATTCTGGGATGCCTGATTTTTCTCTTAACCAACTGCCATCTTTGGGAAGGGGACCAGAATAATGAAATAATATCCAGATGCGAAAAACAATGAACAGGAATTTAAGAATTGTAAAATTATTTATTTCCCCTGCTTTTTGTCCCGTGTGGAATCATGATCTCAAGATCCTAACCAAAATAACAGATCAATTCAGCCAAAGTCTTGTCTTTCAAAAGAACCCAAATAGAGCAAATGAATGTGCAAGTTAATGGGATTTGGAAGTTCCAAAGGCCATAAGTATACAAACTGAAGAAGTCTTCAAATTGTAAAATAAATTCCTGCCAGCCCAGACTAATCACTTAAAACACACAGTAGAAAACCTTCAAA